GTGTGCACACTCACACCCGTTTCAGCTTTGAACATCTCTCTTCTTCCTTTTCTTGTGTATTCTCTCCAGGGCTTGATTTTGGTCTGTCACGGTCACAGTCCTCAGGTATAACTGGGCAGAGCCCAGAGCACCCCTGCATCTGTTCCACCATTCCTGTCTTTAATTTTTGTTCTAGTTCAAGTGGAACTTGGGTTTCTGCTGGGTCTTCTCAGCAGTGTGCCTGGGCAGGACTCTGCCCTTTTCCCTTGACAATAGAAATGTTGGGGAGTTGGGGATAGAAAATGCTCTGGACCTGCTAAAGCCTTTGCAGGGCTCTGCTTCTATCTGTTGCTGGAGCAACAGCAGGATTTTTTTTTTTTTAAATAGGCACTTCCGGTACAGGAACAAAGAACAACAAAATCACTCCTTTAAAGTGAGTACTTTTCTGTGGCTTTGGATTCCACTTTTCTCCCCTGCCCCCACTCTCTCCCAGGGTTCTCAGAAGGCCAGACTTCTCCCACCTTCCTGCTATTGCTGTCTTCTTATTTCTTCAAAGAAAAAAAATCCACTTTCCTTCCTTCATCCTTCCTCTCCCTTCCTATTCTTTTTTTCTGGGGTAGGGGGTAGAGTGATATCAGGAATTGAACCTAGGGGCACTTAGTCACTGAGCCTCACCCCAGCCCCCCCCCCACCGTTTTTTTTTTTTTAAATAAAGGGTCTCAGTGAATTGCTTAGGACCTGGTGGGGCTGGCTTTGAACTCATGATCCTCCTGCCTCTCAGAGCTCCTGAGCTGTGGTGATTATAGGTGTGTGCCATCAGCCCAGCTCCTTCCTATTCCTTCTTGTTCAGGGGGCTTTGGGGAGTAGATTGCCCTTTAATACTGAGTCTCATTTGACTCTACTTGCAGAGGAAGAACCTTGTTTGGAGGCTGACTCTACCTGAAAATGTACTGGATAAGAGTCATTCAATCTGAGTTGGACCAGAGTGGCTGAGAGACCATAGTCACTTACTATATTGAGTTTCAGCTTTCCTTCCTTATCTGTATAATGGAAATAACAACCTACTGTGTAAGACTGGAGGGAATATGGAACAGGATTATATATATCAAAATCTTCACATAGTGCCCAATAAACCATATGAGCTTCTGACTTGGAGTCTAAATTCTTCTTCTTCATCATGGACAGTGGGAGAGTTCCCTCTTCTAAAGGTGACCTTACTTCTTTTCTGTTTCAGGCATTGCCTATTCTGCCTCTGTTCCTGGGTAGTGAGGGTCAGTGCTTGGAGTCTTTTCAGACCCTATGAGGGTCCATCCCCACGTGAGGCTGGGCCAATTAGATTTCCTCTTTCATAAGCATGAATGGAAGGTCGAAAAAAAGGCCCCCCCCCCCCCCCCCGGGATGCTTGTGGGAGCTGAGAAGTCTTAGGCTGGGATATTGTGATCAGGACAAGATGAACAAATTTTCAGTAGCAAGCATGGAGGAAGGAGCCCATAGGTTAAAGATGGGTGAGAGTGGCCCTGGATCACAGGGGCTTTGGCTTTCCTGTTCCAGGAACCCATACAGTCCGACTCCACGCCATTCCTGTTACTCTTTCCAAAACCTCTCTCTTCCCTTGAGCCCGTTGGAGAGGTTTCCTCTACATCCACAGACGTCTTCACAGACTTTCTGATTTTGAGTGGTACTTGGCTGTCACCAAGGCCTCTTTTTAACCCACTCAGAGAGCACTGGGACTGTGTCTCTTCATGTAATGTCCACCCTGAAGGACAGGAGTTCCTGACAAAGGTTCATTCTTCTGTCTGTTTTTAGGCCAGGCATTTTTTACTCTTAGGAAATTCCTGCAGTACTCTTGCTATATTTTATTCTTCTATTTTTCTTTATTTTCCTCAGGGACCCTTGGAATTCCATCACTTTTCTCTAATTTGGTTGGGTTCTAGGAGACCAGAGACCTTTTTTGCTGATTTTGAAGACTCTGTTTTTCAAGAGAGAGGCCCCAGAGACCTCCAAAATCCGATCTGACAGCCTTAAGCCTTAGCTTGCTCTCACAAGACAACTGGTGTCGGGTCTCTGCTCTGCCCTTTGAGGATTCCCCTGATGTTCGCAGACATTACCCACCCGCAGACACCCAGCTGGTTAAGTGAACCTAATCTAACCTGGAGCGAGAAGGCTGGCTGTGTGAGTCTCCGAGGCCAGCGAGCTTGAGACACGGAGGGAGAATGCTCCTTCCTCACCTTCCCAGGCTGACTGCCAAGCTGCCAGAGAGAGACCCGGGCTCTGTGTGGAGCTCATTTCAGAGTGAGTCAGAACATGAGGGAGTCTTGTTTACACGTGCCCAGCAAGAGAAAAGCCCCACGGGAGATGCTTCCAAGGACCCTAGCAAGCATTTGGGAGATCTTTTTTCCTCTTTACTAGGAGACAGAGCCCACCAACTTGGAGGGGGCACAGCTGTCCATGCTGTGTGCAGGGAAAGGGCATGGGAATATCCTGGGATGCCCCATGACATGGCCAGTCTCTGTGCCCAGAGTGCAGGGTTGGGAGCCATTCTCAACAGGCACAAAACCACTCCTCCCATCTGTTAGCAACAGATCTACTAAGACAGCACCACCTCCGCCCAGGCCATCTCTGTGATGTTACCTTAGAAACCAGAAAGAGCAATCTAAGCCACTTTGATTTTTTTTCTAGCACCTGGGAATTAAACTTTTTTATATGAGCCAATACTTTCATCCTGTCCTTAACCCAAACATCCTCTCCCAGGGCTACAGTAGAGGAAGAATTTAGAAGGAGTGATATAATAACCTTCTGGAATGCCAAAGGTCTTTGACATTTTGAGAATCTGAGCACCCCTTTCCCTTTATCCTTTGAGTCACAGACCATATTCCTGAGTGAGTTGAGGAGCCAGGCAGATGCAGAAAGGCCTGGAAAAAAGTCCGCTATTCCTTAGATCCTCAGCCCTGGATAATGTCAGATGGTTATATGAAAATAGGGAAAATTCACAATGGGTCAAGGGTCATGTTCATGGGGGAATATCTACATGGGTTTGGGTCAGGATACCTCTGTTGGGGACCTAGAAGTAGATGTTTATGGCTAGAAAGCCAGATAAAATCTAGAATGTCCAGTTAAATTTGAGTTTCAGATAAATAGCTAGTTTTAGTGTATATATATATATATCTCATTCAATATTTGAGACATATATTAAAAAGTATTTGTTGTTTACCTAAAATGCAAAACTGAATGTTCTATATTTTCTTTGTTGATTCTGGTGACTCCATCAGGGTGGGCACAATCTCTGGTATCTTCAGGCCCTGCAGATGTTGTAGGCACACATTTATTTGTATGTAGGAAGCCGGGCACCTAGACAAATAGGGTTTATGTCAGTATGGAATTGTATCTTAAGAGGAAGCAATATTTGGGTCAGAGGTCATTTCAGTGTTTTTATTTTTATTTTTTGTTTTTGAATGATTCCACAATGATTAACTTTCTGTTTCCAAACATTTCTCAAGTCTTTTGGAGATTGTTGGAGAATTCCAAAGGCCCTCCCAAAACTTGACCTGTTGATCTTCTTAATTAAATTTCCCACTAGGTCATTTGGAAGAATAAGCTAGCAGGGAGGGATTCTTAGACTCGTCTGTAGATCTTTCCGCCTTTCCTTATGCCATTATTTAGGACTACTCTCATCACACTCCTCTTCTTTCTCTTTGGTGAGCCTCTGAGAAGATAAAGCATGAGATAGAAGCTGAGGGAGCTTAGGTGTGGTTGGAGAAAAACAAATCAGATCTTAGCAGTTCCAGCCCATGAGAATGGGTGTCTAGCGAGGGCTCTGTGGATGTGGAGAGCACAGGCTCTGGGCTCCGGGTCTGGGGAAACTGGCGGCCGTTGGTCAGATCTCGGCAGGTCTAGGGATGACTTCAGACTGTGCAAGGGGTATGGGGAGCATGGGCTGGTAGCCCCGGGCTACTAGGAGCCAGGAGAGAGGGCCAGTTATGACTGCAAGGCTGCAGGAACATCTCAAAGGTTGCACAGAGCTCTGTGGCTGCCTGTGAACAGTAGTGTCTGGATCCTTCTGTTGTAGACGGATTTGCCAGTGTTGGATCCTAGCTGTCAGAGGACCTGACCAGGATGAAGTCGTGTGAAGACTGGGGTGGGGAGGAAACAGCTGGTTACAGGTTTCCAGCTCTGGCAAGTTCTCTCTGTTTGCATGGCTGGACTCGTACCATGGAACCAAGTGTTCCTGAGTCGCTCCAGCAAGCGTCTCCTCCTCTGTTTCTTGGCTGCCTTGTCTGGGGACATGCATTCCACCTCAGTGAGGGGCCATGTGGGTCCACCAGCGTCTTATTCTCCAGACCCACACAGCACACCTGGTTCCAGATCCCCCAAAACTCAGATTTGGTCAAGCTGGAGGCTTCAAGTGGAATCCTGTTGGTTTCCCTGTGTGTCCAATTTACTGACCCACCCAGGGTCACCCAGTCCCTTTCTCTTTACCACCCCTCTAGCTCCTATTTAGCTAAAGTCTGCAGACAAAGTGGTATATGCTTTTGGCCTCAGTTTTCTCATCTATAAAGTGGGTGGCACCTCATCCATCCCTCAGCCCCCCCCCCCCACTGTGATGTCCCTTCCTTAAGCCTATGCTGATGTCAATTACAGTGAAGATTCTTCGTGAAGGATCTTAGGATGTTCTTGATACGAGAACCTGGATATATAATCTTGGAGAGTGTCAGGAGTCGACGACACCAAATATTGATAGTGTATGATATGGGGTTGTTGTTGGGATAAAGAATGCTCTTAAGTGCCTTTGTGAATCATTAAGCACATTGTACAGTTCGAGGTGAGGACAGCAGGAGGGGGACAAGTCTAAGCCACTTGTTCGCTTGTTTCTCAAGGGGACCAATGGACGAGCCATGGTGTTGGGTCAGGAGGCAGAGTCCATGCTGGCTCCAGGAAACATGTGGTTCTGTGCACACAGCTGACCCACACCCATCCTGAGCACACTGCCAGGAACCAAAGAAGGGGGAAGAGAAGGGAAGGGAACAGAGAAGAGGAAGGGAGGAGGAGAGAAGGAGGGTGAAGACCAAATGGCACTGTCATGTGAAGTTTGGAGGCTTCCTTTCAACTCTCCCTTATAATTAGCTGGTGCAGCTGCAGGGGCAGAGCTCTGGGTGAGTTGCGACTTGCTGGGCTCCAGCCCTCAGGACTGGCTTTGGACTGGCTCCGTGTTTGGGGGGAAGCGCCGGTCAATGGCTCCTCCTTCCCCCTCTGTCTTCTTGCTCTAATTCCCTGCCTGGGAAGCGCTTGTGAAAGGTTGACAAGTTTTTGGTGTCCTTAGCCAAGAAGGCCTTTTCCCCAGGACTGACCTGGGGGTGCTGGGGAGGGGTTGGTTTTAGCAGATTTCTCTCCAGCAATGATTTAGCAGATTTCTCTCCAGCAATGATTTAGCAGAGTTCTCTCCAGAGGAGCAATGGAGAAGGCTCTGAAGGAAAGGGAGGGACAGGGTCCTGCAGGGGCTAGAGAGTCTGGTTGGATCCTATCAAGGCAGGGAGCCTCTTGGGATTCCACAGATGCCCATGTGGGCATCTGCTACCTCTTAGCCTCCCCGAGTCCATGGTTAGCTAGGGGGCAATTTCTGGCACTCTGGGACCCTCAGACTGTGTCAGCATGCCCTGGTGGGAAAATCAGGCTTCTGTGTGGTTTGGATTGAGGTGTCCCCAAAAAGCTCACTTGTGAGCCAATGTAAGAAGGTTCAGAGGAAACATGATTGTATTGTGAGAGTCCTAACCCAATCAGTGATTAATCCCCTGACAGGGCTTAACTGAGTGGTAACTGAGGTGGTGGGGTGTGGCTGGAGGAGGTGGGAATTGGGGTGTGGCTTTGGGCATATATTTGTATCTATTGAGTGGAGTCTCTCTCTCTCTCTCTCTCCTTCTGATCATCATGTGAGCCTCTTCCCTCTGCTGCTTCATGATGTCCTGCCTCACCTTGAGCCCCGAGAAGTGGCGCCTGCTGTCTATGGATTGAGACCTCTGAAACTGTGAGCCCTCCAATAAACTTTTCCTCATCCACAATTGTTCTGGTCGGGTCCTTTAGTTACAGCAGCAAAAAAAAAAAAAAAAAAAAAAGACTAAAACCTTTCCAAAGTTGAATGACTAGATATGAATCTTGATTCTTACCATCTGCAGCAAGCTACTTCATTTCTCAGGGTCTCAGTTTACTTACCAGGAAATGGGTATAATAGTACTAGTCCCTTCTTAAGGGCACAGCTCAGCCCAGCCCCAAACACAGGCACTTAGATAGAAGCTTCTGTTTCTTTGCTATCCTGGGAGATTATGTGGGTTTTATTTGTGGACAGGACACATCTGCCTTCTTGCCCCACTCAGCTGGGTTGCAAGTAGGGTCAATGAGAGCCTCTGTCAGGGAGAAGTCAGTGTGGCTCCTGAAGATGGAGGCACTGCCTTTGCATCAGACCAGAGGGGGACCCTGGCAAGGCTGCCTGAAGGTGGCTGTGCACAGAACAGAGGATCCTGTAGGTATTCTGGCCGGCACTGCTCATGGCTCAGTATTTATTTTTTTTCTATTAGCCATGTCTGGTATGGAGCAAGAATTTAGCACCTTCGCCATCTCTCCGAGCAGGGCCAACCAGGTGAGCAACAAAAGTTGAGGGAGCAGAACGACCCTCCAGTGTCATTCAATTTCTGTGTGGTGTGAGGAGCTTTTCCCTGCAGGTGAGCCTGGCCAACATACCCCTCTTTTACGGAATCTACAAGTGCCAGGCTCGCCGCATGAAATCTCTCTCAACTTCATGACATCTCTGTAAGTAAGGGGGATCATTCTGGTTTCATGAAGGATCAGCAGATACTTGGTAAATTTAAACTACAAGATCAGACAGATTGTAAGTGCATCCATTAGATTTGGAATAAAGAACTGCATAATTCCAAAGCCTGGGTTCTCTATACTAATAAGAGTAACTGCTACTAATGGAGCCATTAGTATGTGGATTATTTTATTGAAATCCTTTTTTTGTTCTTTCTTTTTCTTTTTTTTTTTTTTTTTTGTACTGAAGATTTAACCCAGGGGCACTTTTACCACAGAGTTACAGCCCTAGATCAGACCCCCCCCCTCCTTTATTTCTTGTCTTTTTTTCTTTTCTTTTTTGAGACAGTTTCTCAGGGCCTTGCTGAGGCTGGCCTTGAATTTGTGATCCTCCTGTCTCAGCTCCTGGAGCTGCTGAGATTACAGGTGTGCACCACCACACCCAGCTATTTTACTGAAATCTTAACACCAACCAAGAACAGTTGCTCTCTCTCTCTCTTTCCTTCCTTCCTCCCCTTCTCCCTTCCTTCCTTTCTTTTTCTCTATCTTTTGTTGTACTGGAGATGGACTCCAAGGCTCATGCATGCCAGGCAAGGGTTCTACTACTGAGCTACATATCCTCAGCCATAGCTGCTGTCTTACACATGGTGACTTTGGGGTGTGGAAAAGGAACGACCAGACTTTGATTGTCGTCTTTAGACCCAGATAGTACTCTCAGGTTTGCCGTGGGGTTGAAGTCTGTCTTGCTGCAGAAATAATTCTTTGCTTACCTATTAGAGTACCCATAATCTTAGGACTCTCCAGCCTGGCCTCGATGCCCTGTAGGAATGGCCTGTGTCCTGCACTTGACCATAAACTCACAAGGAGCTGACAATGTCTTATTATCAAGCGTCTACACTGTCTCATAGACATTAAGTACTTCATAAATGCTTCTAAATGAACTTGCTTACCATAATAACAGCTACCATGTGCTAATTGCTTACTGTTCTGTTGTATGGAATATCCTGTATGCGTCCACCTATGTGATCCCCAAATGTCTCATTTGACAGAGGAACTGAGGCCAGTGGAGGTAAAACAGATTTTCTCAGTGTCACAAAGCAGCAAGTGGGACAGAGGAACACAAGCTGTCTTTCCCCCTCCTCTTCACCCCCTGAAGGTTTTTAGAGGTGGCATTTCCTGGAGCCTTTCCGTGTCCTTTTTCAGAGGGGAGAAAACAGTTTGCAGATTGCTCCCCTTGGAGCAGGGCCGCTGAGGGCATGAGGAATAGCTACCTCTTGTCAATGTCAAGTCCATGGCCTGGCCAGTCAGCTGCAAAATCACTGTCTTGCCCTTTGCTTTCTACCTCATTTGCATTTGGGTCCCAAACCCATTCCTTCCCTCACCTCCAGCACCTGGAGAGTTAGGGCTCACCCCGACTTGCAAGAGGGTGGCGGGTTGTCCTTAGAGGTTCAGTAATGTGCACCTTTTCCTCCTGCTCCTCCTTTGTCCTTTCTCTCCCCATCCAGCCTCCTCCTTAAGCCCCAGGTGTCAGTTAGGCACTCTCAAAGGATTGAGTTAGTTTCCTCTTGCTGCCATAACAAATTAGTACAAACAGTGGATTAAAAGAGAACAAGTTTCTTCTTTTATTCTGGAGGCCAGAAGTGATCCCCAAACCAAGGTGTTGACAGGGGTGGTTCTTTCTGGAGGCTCCAAGGGAGAATCTGTTCCTTGCTTCTTTCGGTTTCAAGCTGTTGGCTACCTGGGTTTCTTGGCTCCTGGCTGTGCCACTCAGTCCTCTGCTCTTGCTCTCACATTGCTGTCTCCTGGCTGTGTCTTTACTGCCTGCCTCTTAAAGGACCCCTGTGGTTACATGATTGGGCTCATCTGGATAATATCCCCATCCCAAGTCCTAGGTTTATATCTGTGCAGTCCCTCTTGCCATCAAGGTAACGTGCTCACATATTGCAGGGATGAGGCCCGGATACCTTGGTGCAGGGCATTATTCGGTTGACCACACGAATGTTGAACTGTGCCCCACCTACTCATCCCTTATACCAATAAGCAAAGCCGCCTTTGTTTCACAAGGCTCCATACCTGTGAACTGGACTAAGCACTCTGTACTCACCACTTGGCTGACTTCTTAAAAAACCCTTCTGCCACATTGGCACTATTATTTGGCACCTGTTTTATATAAAAGAAGGTCACACAGGGAGTGGTCAAGGACTTGAATTGGAACCCAGGTCTATTTGGTTCCAAGATCTTTCTATTCAACATCACTCTTCCCTGGCCATGGTAGCCAGTCTCCAAGATGGCCCCCAGTGATGCCTGATCACCCTCTTATCTAGACCTCTCCCGGAGGATCAGAATTGGTCAGAATACCATGAAGTGATGGTGAGTGTCTTCTGAGGTTAGGTCCACAGAATCACTGTAGCATTTGCTTTAGTCTCTCTCGGACACTCACTGTGGGGATTAGGTGCCCATGTCCTCCAGTGTCACAAGTACCATCAAGCAACACTTTGGAGAAATTTATGTGGTGAGGAGCTGAGGCCTCTCACCAACAACCAGCATCAGTTTGCCATCCATGTGAGGAAGCTGCTGTGGAACTGAACCCCCAGCCTTAGTCAGATCCTCAGAGGACCACAGCAGCCTCGGGTGACATCTTGACCGCAACTTTGCAAGAGACCTGGAGTCCAAACTACTCACCTAGGCTCCCTCACCTATTTCTATTCTGCAGAAACTGACATAATAAATGCTCATTTTTGCTTTTAGCCACCAATTCCCGAAATAATTTATTATGTCTCCATAGATAATTAATACAAGGTCCAAGTTCTAGAAATCTGGATAGATATTTTGCTCTGAGCTCTGGCTATGAGAAAGAAGATGCTAGTCAGGCCCTGGTCCTCTGAAACACACATTTCATTCTAGTAGGGTGCCTCCTAGCCCTGAAGTGGAGAACCCAAGGATTTCAGAGCATTCCCTATTCCTGAGCTACTTCTCACAGAGGACATTTATTTTTCTTGTTTCCTTCTCTAAAACCATCAATGGATCCTTCATGCCCATTAGTGACTCTGGGGGCCAAACTGCTTTTTCTGCTCTTCACAACCTCCTCCTCATTCTCCCTATGGTCCCTTCAGTCCGACTCCTCCTTGTTCCTCAGACAGACCTTTTAAGCCTCATCAGAACCAGGTGTTCTGTGCTGCTCCCGTGTCTTCTCGGCCATGAGCAGATCCAGACCAGTGATCTGCTTGGTGCTGGGAACCAGTACTTGCTGCTCCTACATATGCTATCTCCATTTCACAACAGACCATTTTTATAGAAAAGGAAACTAAGGTTACATGACTTGCCCAAAGTCCCAGGGGAAGTAAGTGATGGAATCAGTCCTTGGGCCCTGCTCAACCCTGTGGCTTTGAGTTCAGTGATTTTCCACTACAGCATGTTGCCTCCGACTCAGGTTTCTACAGAATCTTCCAGTTTATGAAGTCCCTCCTGTTTACAATTTTTATTCAGTCTCACAATAACATAGAAAGAGGTGGTCATGGAAGATGCCTCCCAATGGGCTCATTTGAGAACTGAATGAACGAGGGTGCAGGCTGTGCAACTGAGGAGTAGCTCCTCAGAATGGAACTGCAAGTGCAAGGCCGACGGAGTGGGGAGCCTCGTTTGTATCTTTAAGAGACAGCTAGAAGGCCAGGTAGGAACAGAGTGCAGAGAAGCTGCCAGGCACTGGGGCCATCGTAAAATCCTTGGATTATATCCTGGGCACCTGTGGAGCCTTCAGGATGGGAATGACAGGGTCTGACTTTTGTGTTAAAAGGATAAGTTGATCCCCAAACTTGACAGCTACAGGCTTCTCTTAGCCTGAGGCTATGCTGGTCTGGCTTAGGAGAGGAGGGGGCGGGGTAGTCAGAAAGGCTGGTCCTGCCTCAGAGGCAGACTGTGCGAACTGTGCCAGGGCAGGCTGGCGGAACCTGCCCGCTCATGCCTCGTCCTGTCGCTGCACCGCAGCCTCAGCCCAAGACTTCATGGGTGCACGGGAGCATGGAGTTAGCTGACATAGCAACCCCCACCCCAGCACAGAAGCCCACAACCCACTCCAGTGCAGATGCTCACAGCAGCTTTGTCTTGGAGTGAGGGATGCTAACTCAGGGGCTGGATATTTGACATCTGGACCACTCTCAAATGATGTATTTTCTCCTTTTACAAAACCCTTCCTTTTCCCTCCCCTCTTTCTTCTAACTTCTCCAAGCTTTTTCTTTATTAATTATACTGTTTCAGTTCCTTTTCTTTCTTCTCTATTCATTCCCCAGAGATTGCATAGAATCTCCTCAAAATCAGAAACAACAACAACAGCAAAATGAACAAGATGAGATCTTTGGCCCAGAGAAAAGATCACATTTGCCTGGCATCTCAAGACTGTCTGGGAAGCCAGGTAGGGTGATTCAGGAGTCCTGCTTGGACACCTATTGCCTCCCAGTAGGCCCCAGAGAATTGCATGCTGTGAAAAGACCCACACCAGGCCTGCCCAGAGCACTCTGGGAATGCAGAGGAGGGTAGCTGGCAGGGGACAGGAGGGGCTCCCAGGAAAGTCTTCACAGAGGGGGGTTATCTGAAAGAGGTTTTGAAAGGTGAGTAGGATTTTGTCAGGAGATGTGGTGGGAAGGAAGGACCAAAAACGAGATGGCTGGAAAAATCTGTGGCATGTTTGGGTAGAAATTAGCCAATTATCTAAATACCCAAAAGGATGACCTCCAGTGGAAAAATCAGACCCATTTGACCCAATCCTGTAGTTCCTGTTTTGTTTTTAAGTAACTTGCACCTAAGTAAACACAATAAATAAAGATAATTTTTCAGGTACTAAATGAGATTAAATATTTATATTATGTTCAGGTCAAAGGGTAAAGAAAACCGAGGAAGGAAAAGAAGGGAAAGGTAGAGGTCAGGAATAGGGAATTTCCTGTTTAGACAGAAGGGTGTCTGGACACTCGGAGGCATTTGATCCCCGAGAAGAAAAGAGCTTGGGAAGCCTGGCTGAAAGGACCCAAACACTTCACTGGGTTGGAAAGTGATGTCTCAAGGCTCCTGTTCTCCTTTCCTAGAAATGGTTCATCGTTAAGAGTATTAAGGTGTAGAAAGGATTTGAAGGGAAGAAATTCTGATTCATTATAACAATACCTGGTGTTTAGACCACACCTTTCTCCCAAGGAGCTCAGATTCCTGCAGGGATAAGATGTCATTAATTCCTCACAACTTGTCCCCAATCCTGTCTCACCCTGGAGACAAAGAAGTGGCCCTGGACACAGCTTCTGTGACTCGTGGGTGCTCCAGGGAATCTTCTGGGCTGTGAGGCATTGACTTCCAGGACTCTTGTGTTTTTATTTTGCTTTGATTTCAGGTCCACACAAGAACATGAGACACCTGACAGTTCACTTGACAGCAGCGAGGATCTCATTCCAGCCATCTAGGATAAAAGCAGCCTCTACCATTTCTGCATCTCCAGAAAAGAAACACTATGACCTCCTTTGAAAGTTTACCAGAGCCCCAACACAGTGAGTTTTTCTTGACATGTAATGCAAATGTCTTCATTTATAATGGAGCCCAGTTCGTATTGGTCCTGTGTGCACTTAGAACAAAGAACAAGGTTCTTTCCTGCCACTTCTAGGAGATCCTGGAAACTTCCCTTAATTTTTTTTTTTTTTTTTTTTTTTTTTTGGGAGGCTGGAGATTGAACACAGGACCTCATGTGTGCTACGCAAGTCTTCTACCATTGAGCTGCACCCCAACCTTGGTTGGCTTCTGCATCTTGCAAACCAGAAAGCTAGGCTTTTTAAAAGCTGGTGGAGAAGAAATTCTTACATCCCAACTGCCAGAAGAGGAGGAGGTGAATCACAAATCAATAATTCTTCAGCCTGGTGTAGTGGCACACGCTTGTAATACCAGCAGCTTGAAAGGTTAAGATGGGAAGATCTAGAGTTCAATGCCTGCCTCAGCAAAAGCGAGGCCCTAAGCTACTCAGTGAGACTCTGTCTCTAAATAAAATACAAAATAAGGCTGGGGATGGGCTCAGTGGTTGAGTGCCCCTGAGTTCAATCCCCAGTACCAAACAACAACAACAATAAAACAAATCAACAATTCTTTGTTGAGTACTCACTGAGAGCAGAGCCCTGTCCTAGGTGTTGTAGAAATCATATTTAATCAATCTCTTGAAGCTGTTTTTGGGAGAAGGTAAAGCAGACATTTGTAAAAAGTAAAATATCAACTTAGTAATCATGAGCAATATCCTTGATAACCCATGAGCAATGCTGTAAGGGAGAGTATAATAATAAGAGTAACAATAGCTAACTTTCATTAAGCACAGACTATGTGCAAGTCCTGTTATAGTGCTTTATATTCTTTAACCTATTTCATCCTTTCACTTTTCTGTGGTAGATACCATCATCCTGTTCTACTGAGGAGGAAATTTGAATCATGGTGATAAGAAAAACTTGCCTAAGATCACAGAGTTAGTCAGTGGAATAATTCAGGTTGTGAACCCAGACAATTCAGTACAGAATATGAATGATTAAATTCCATCAGGGAATAGATAAGTTTTCTCAGAATAGAACACGGAGCTGATTTGGACTTTTGTAAACAGCTGGAGAATCTGTCTTGGAGCAGATAGAATAGTTTTGTGTACCAAACCCTTTACAACTGGGCCATGTATTTTCTTTAATAGGGAGAAAGATAGAATCTTTTAACTTGTACGTAGACACATGTGAATGGTTCCTGGGCTTCGGAAGACCTTTGCATCACTGTGTGTCCCTGGACAAGTCACTTACCCTGTGAGCTTTGTTTCCATTTGAAAATTATAGGGTCCTCTCCAGCTCCAAACATTACCATTTTTATGCCTCTTGGCCAAGTCGACGCTGTAAGGCATATAAATGGTTCAGCCCACCTCAGGGCTTGAGTGTGTTGCATGCCAAGGAGTCAGAAAGTAGGTGCTGATTTGGTCAAGTTGCTAATGAGGCAGGGGTACCCCTAGGTGCTGGAGTGAGTGGACAGGACGAAGTTCATAGAAAACCTGTGGTGGAGTGCAGAATGTGTGGAGGAGGTGGCTGAGGTCACTCCTTCCTGCCCTGTTGTTGTGACTCTAAATGTCAATTTGTTGCATTGAGAGCTCTCTTACTCATTCTGTGCTTGTATCATGTAGGATGTGTTCAGTTGCAGGTAACAGAAAATTTCTTTGAAATATGCTTAAATCAAGAAAGGGATATTTTAGCTTGTAAGACCTTGAGTCCAACTGAGTGGTAGACTGTAGGCATGGCCCGGACTGCAGCTCACTGTGATCTCTGAGCTCTGCCCTCCTCTGAATGTTGGCTCTGCTCTCGTGATTGGTTTTTCTCATGATTGCAGAATGGCAGCCTACTGTAGCCAGCCCGCCTGTTTCCTTGTTTCCACTTTCCATTAACAAATCAAAGTCCTGCGCAGAATCGTCTATATAATGTTTGAGGCTTAGTAAGAAAGAAAAAAATTGGGGCCCCTTAAGTTAACAATGATTATGAAGACCTTCAAGAAGACAAAACCAGAGAATCAAATCAATGATGGGGATCTAGTCAGTGCAGGGCCTGTGTGGCTGCCAGTCACAGCCATAAAGTTGGCCTTGGTCCTGGGCTTCACTCTCATTAAGCCAACTCGAACCGGCCACTATGACTCCCAGGGGAAAGCATGGCCCAGCTGAATTAAATTTGGGTTATTGTTCACCCATGGACCAATTCTTTTTAAAAAAATTTTTTAATACTTATTTATTAGTTTTCGGCGGACACAACATCTTTGTTTGTATGTGGTGCTGAGGATCGAACCCGGGCCGCACGCACGCCAGGCGAGCGCGATACGGCTTGAGCCACATCCCAGCCCCATGGACCAATTCTTATGGTAAATTGATGGGATTGTCTGATGGGTTTAGACCAACTGGAGGCTGTCTTTGGAGTTGGGGATGGGTCACATTTCCCTCCAGTTTATAAGTGCTACACAATGGAGGAGGAGAAGCAGCCACCTGCCCAACATAGCTGTGTATCAATGCCTCTGTGCACCGTTGCAGAATGGATGGATTGGATGGTATCTCCCCACCAGTAGAGCATTTGCAGGGGATCCCCATCCTAAGGAGCAGTGCTTCAGTTCTACCTCCTTCCCTCTTTTCCAGAATAATCACATTTCCCTCTGTTGAGTGGTGAAGAGCACAGACTTCAGGCAGTGTGGTGTTAGAAAGGAACTTGAACTTGCAGGGAAGATTGGGCTTTGCCCCTCCACTGCTCTCCTGACTGGCTGCATCATTTTGAACCCAGGTCTTTATTTTTCTATCACGGTTTTCTTATCTTGGAAGAAAGACATTGCCTGCCTGACCTATTTCACAGGGCCGAGGTGGCAATTGGATGGGATTGCATATGTGAAAATGGTTTTCAATCTGGTGAGGATTGAAAAGGACTGCTGTTATTTCTTTTAAAACTTGGGGACATGGTGTCTGTGGGCTGTAACAGTTTGAATGCCTGTTTGCCAGTCTCCTTTAGCTTTTAAATGAGAAACAAAGGAATGGGAAGTGAAAGGAAAGATGAATTGGCCAGGGGAATTTGGGAAGGCCATGAAAAGACTGTTGAGCTTTGAAAATCAGGAGAAGGATGATTGGTATTGCAGCTGGAGAGTAGGATTTCTTGTGCAAACAATAGTTTCAAAGGGAAATTATCCTGTTCTTTCCTGACATTCAAAAATCACTTCTCGGTCTCTCTCTTTGGTTCTCTGCCCCCTTGTCTCTCTGTCCCCCATTATCAGCCCCCTCCTCTTCTCCTCTGTCCCGCAGATAATTTCTAAGCTGTTCTTACTACCTCTCCAATAACTTCTCTGGTGTTTTGGCTTCCTGGGCATCCTGGATAGAACTTCTAGTTGCCAGTCCCTGATAATTAAGGATAAGGAGAATGGAACTAAACACGAGTAGGTTCCCAGAGCTTAGCCCTCTCTTTCCTGCCTCCCTCTCACCTATGAGTTCAGCATCCATCATTCTTGACAGTTGCTTGGGTGGGGATGCCTTCTCCAAATTTGCAAACCCCAGGTGCTCCAACAAGAGGGCAACGTGCCTGCAGCGCAGCAACGTGTCTGGATGTTTATCTTGACGTGCACCTGCAACACTGAACACACATCTGTACATAAATTAGACGCCACCCATTAACCCTGAAACTGGTTATCCCAACAGCTCATTCCCTCGAGCCCCTGCCCTTCTGTCACCACCACACCAAAAAAATGAGACGGCGTGACTTCCCACTCCCACATACAAAAGACACACTGATGGATAATTTCTTTGTTCTCCTGAAATGTTGATTTTTGGGGGGTAGATCTATAAAGAATGGTGACAGATGTTATCTGGCTTGTTCTCCTATTTCTAGTCAATGTTCCATTCAAATAACTCCAGGAAGGGGCTCATGAATTTTTTTCTTTAGAAATTGCTGAAGGAGATTCTGTAGCATCCCTGGGCCACCTGTTCCTGTACTTACATTCTGACGGTTTGGGAAAGCTCCATAATTATAAAGGGCACTTGGATATTGGCCACTCAGGGTCCATTTTCTTTTTTTCTAACATCCTATCCTGTGCAGAATTCCCCCTGAGTGTAGTCGTGGTCTCAGTTAAGGTGACCTGTAAAAGCGAGAAGCAGGTCTGTGCCCTGAGTTGCGCCAGCTGTGTTTTCTCTTCCTGGACTTAGTTGAAGTGAGTAAGGGCTTGGAGCGGCTCCTGAGCATGCTGGTTTTCTTCCCTACTCCACAAATATCCTGACATGCTATGGATCTGGCTTTTCTAAACCTGGTGCCCAGTTTTCCCTCTGATCCTGTGAGCCACCTATCTCAGGCCCAAAGTAATCCCTATTCACCAAGAGGATTTTGTTTTTGTTTGTGTGGTTTGGCTGTTTTCTTTTTAAAATTCTTTTTCAAGTTTTCTAGTGTTGATTCTTCTTAAAAGAACCAAAGAATCTTATGGAACTCTATGATGCTTATACTGTCCTGGGCAAGAACACTCCCACTCATGGCTTCTTCAACAAATGGTCCGTACATTGAAATTTTAAAAACTCTGATTTGAACCCCACGATCCTTTCTGAATTTGCAGATCCATCAGTCTGACTGGAGTCGGCTTCTCCACCAGGAGAAGTGCTCTACCACTAAGCTACAACCCCAGCTGGAATCAACTGGATACGTCCCATATCCAAAGCACCTAGAATTCTTCAACAGAAAATTTTTTAGCTGGTAGTAAGTACTAATTGCCTGCTGGGTACTAGAGGATTAATAGCCTTTCCCCAGGGGTCTGTGGGCTGGTGGGTGGTGTGGAGAAGGAAACTCTCCGTCTCAATTAGGTACTAAGCCTTGTGCCTGAGACCCCTGTCCCTGGCCAATGGGCTAGGGGAGGCTTCTTCCAGGAGACGACATCTGGGAAATACCTAATGGTGCATCAGATTAACCAAGTAAATACGGGCTTGGTGGCTAGTCAGCCACCTCTGGCTCTTGTCACTGTTTACTTGTTTATCTGAAACACCCTCTGGTCCTGCTAGCGAGGAGTCGCCCAGGAGAACTGTGAGCTCGCCTTCCTGCTTACTGCCGCATCCTCAGGAAGAGACCGGCACATTGTAGACGTAAGGAAGTTCTGCACAGATGTGTTCCAGGTAAGGGTCACTCTAGCAGATGGTCTGGTTGTCCTGCCTCCGCACCCACTGTGCCCTTTGCATGGGTCCCAGGGGTGCTCAGAACGCGCTGTGCGTTTCAGGTCTTTGCACTCGGGCCTGTAGAACTCTTTCTTCTCGCCTCTGCCTGGCCAGCCTTGCCATCTTTCACAGGAGTCCTGATTGACACCCCGCCCCTTTTAAACATTAAAACATAATATTTGTGCATCTTTGTGGGGAACTGTGTGATAATTTGATATGTGTACACCACGTGTAATGATCAAGTCAGGGTAAGCACTTCTGTCTCTTCAAATGGTAATCATTTTTATGTCAGGAATTTCATACTACTTTTTTTTTTTGTTAGTCTGAAATATATCATAGATCATTGTAACCAATAGTTACCCTACTATACTACAAAATACTAGAACTAACTATTTCTTCTTAAGAGAAGAATTAAGGACTACTGGTCTCTAGTGACCACTGTTCCACTCTGTTCTTCTATGAGATGGACATTTTGTTTCCACAAATGAGTAAGAACACATGGTATTTGTTTTTCTGTGACTTTCTTATTTCACTAACCTAATGACCTTTAGTTGTATCCATGTTGCTGCCATTGACATGATTGTATTCTTTTTCATGGCTGAATAATGTTTCATTATATGTATGTATAACATTTTCCTTATCCATTCATCCATTGATGGAGCTCTCAGTTGATTCCAGCTGGGGTTGTAGCTTAGTGGTAGAGCACTTGCCTAGCACATGGAAAGTACTGGGTTTAACCCTCAGCACCACACTAAAAAAAATAAATAAATAAAATAAAAAAGGTATATATATATAAAAAAGAGAGCACCATATTGTTTTAAAAAAGAATAGTGCTATAATAAGCATGAGAGTACAAATGTCTCCCTAGTATAGTGATTTCATCTTTTGAATATATATCCAGCAGTGGGATTGCTGGGTTTTATGGCAGTTCTATTTTTGGTTGTATGAGGGAATCTCCGTGTGTTTTCCATAATGGCTGTAGTATTTCACATTCCTCAGTGTCCGTCCGGGAGGTCCCCTTTCTCTGCATGTTCAGCAGCATTTGCTATTTTTTGTCTTTTTGATGGTAGTAATTTTAACTGGAGTAAGATGATATCACATTGTGTCTTTGATTTGCATTTCTCTGATGATTATTAATATTGAGCAGTTTTTCATATACTTGGCCATTTCTGTTTCCTTTTGAAGAAGTGTCTATTTAGGTCCCAAGCCCACTTTTAATTTTTGGGTGTGTGTGTTCAGTTTTCTGAATTCCTTCTATAGTCTGGATATTACTCCCTTTTGCCATGAGCTCCTCTTGTCCACACTGTTTGATTTTGATCCCCCCTTCCCAGGCCCTGCCAGGCTGAGTCCCCTCCCCTTCCTCTCCCCAGAGGACTCCCACCAGCCTGCTGTCACCTTGCTTCCTGCCAAGGTTGCCTGACTTAGCAAACACAAACACGCAACGTCCTGTTAAGTTTGGATTTCAGAGAAACAACAATTTTCACAGTCTCCCTTATGTACTGTTCAGGACATAGTTGTCTTACAGACTTATTTCTTGTTTATCTGAAATTCAGATGTAATTGGGAGCCTGTATTTGATCTGAGAACTCTACTTTCTGCACAGTATGTGAGCTCATGATCTTCCTCTTCTCCCCTTTCACATCAACCACGAAACACCTCTCCTATCTCTGCTGAGGGTGTTCTTCACCTCTGTGCCTCAGACCCCCTTTCTGTCCCTGAGGAGGAGGTCAGCCTCTGGGTCACTTCAGCTGTGCTGGGTTCACAGGCTGCCCCTTGCAGGCCCTGTGCCAGGAGCCCTGGGAGGCACAGTTGGGTGCAGGCTGTTGAGAAGAAAAAGACCCTTTCTTTTGGCTTATCACTGGGGATCCGTTTTTTCTATCCGCCTCCCCTTTCCATCATCTGCTTCAAACTCTGGAACTTCAGGAATGGGCAATAGCAATTTTGTTGGGTTGAGACTAGGCAAGGGCAAGTTTAAGGAGACGATGGTGGCTGTGATTCCTGCCAGCATCACTAACACGACTGGGTGCAGTTTAGGTTTACTGAGTGCTTTTTAGGATAATCTCACTAAATCCCCTAAGAACCTCAGGAGGTGGGTATTATTTTGCCCATTATACAGATGAGGAAAATGAGCCTAGTGAGGTTAATGATTGGTCCCGATCACACAACTGTGGGTTACGAGTGAGATGGGACTTGAAGCCAGACAAGCTTCTCATGGCTACAGGCTGCCTGCTGTGACAGGGCTGAGGACCTCCGTGGGGGCATCCTGGGGCCATGGTCATGGTGCTCACACCATGGGTCGCATTTTCCTGGCTGTGATCTTATTTTCATCTGCTTTTTCCTGATATCCTAACCCTTGGACTTTTCCATTCGTCTTCCCTCATTGATGATCTGCCCAGGGTTTTCCTAAGCCCTGTAAAAAAGCTTTCGAAATCTCACTTAGAAAAGACCCTGCCAGGGCTGGGGTTGTGGCTCGGCGGTAGAGTGCTCGCCTAGCACTTGCGAGGCTCTGGGTTCAATCCTCAGCACCACGTAAAAATAAATGAATAAAATAAAGGCATTGTGTTCAACTACACCTAAAAAATAAATATTCAAAAAAAAAAAAAAAAAAAGACCCTGCCAAGTTTTCCCCCAACAGTCACCTGCCGCCCCAAGCCTCTTGCAGACTCAGAGCCGTACGAGGGGGACGTGTCTTCTGAAGCTCTGGTGTAAAGCTCTGAGCACCCTGTCCCCAGCCCTGACAGCTGTTGGGCAAGTGGGGCCCTCCCCCTAGGTGGGCGTGTTCCTGAGTGAGCTGAGGCCTGGCCTTGCTCTGTGTACCTGGACCCTTGGCAGCCTCCCAGCTCTCAAGTGTGAACACACCCACTTTCCCATTTACAGCCTTTGCTCTTTGCCAGGGTGATGGCTACCTGGAGCTCAGGTTTGACTCCCATGAAATCCTGGGTACTTTCTCTCTCCCCACCTGCCACTGTACCAGCGAGAGTGATCCCAGGTTCATAGTGTTTGTCTTGGATTAGATTTCAGTGGGAGATTCTCGGGTCTAATTTTCTCATTTCGCAGAGGAGGAAATGGATGCCTAAGGAAAGTTGGAGATTAATCGCATTCACAGAGTTAGCCAGATTTTGTCTTATTTGAAAATATTGTTGCTTAGAGGAATGAATCAAGAATTCTAAAAGCACCGACGATCGTGGGTTTGGGTTATTCTGATGAGAGATGGTAGTCCCGGTGAGTGTGAGAGAGGGCTGAGCTGAATGTCGTGCACAATAAGTCTTGAATGTCCACTAGGTTCTATGTCCTAGAGTAATCCAGGACATCTGTTCTTCATGGGATGGACAAAGAGGCTTAAACATCTCACTAGGGATCTGTTAGTAGGATGTGATCTTTGGGGAACCTGTCAGACCCCATAGTCCTAGATAGGGTCAGAGGGAGGTTAGAGGTTGACAAGTGGTGACATTGTGGTAGGGTCTGCAGGGGCTGTCTACCTGAAGTCCCGAAGTCCCATCACACCCTGCAATTCTAAAAGCCCATCTAAGCTGGGGCTTCAGCCCAGGCCTAGACGTTTGTTCATATTTGATTCCTGACTAGGGCTGCCTCTTCCCAAACCACAAGGGTTGCTGGAGTCAGCATGGTGGGTCCTCTGCTTCTTCACGCCCCAAAAGCTGTCGTGCTGGGGGAACATCTCCAGGGAGGCAGACACTGTGTCCCTGGAGCCCTGTGTTTTACGGCTTCCTCCTGGGAGACAGTCTTAATTCTTTCCTTCTTTGTAGATAACCTATGGAAATGAAAATCATATTAATCAATTAATTGAAATTTATTGAGAAATGTGCTAGATTAGGAGGGTATTGAGAAAGACAAGGCAGCGACTCAGGTTCTTTAAGTTTCTCATTGCCACCAGCAATTTTTTTTGGGGAGGGGCAATGGGAGGGTGGCACTGGGAATTGAACTCAGGGCATTCCACCACTGAGCCACATCCCCAGCCCTATTGTCTCACGGAGTTGCTTAGTGCCTTTCTAATCTACTTTCTGGTAAGAAATTGGTCTCCTTATGAATTTACTCTTTATTCCAGTGTACAATCCTTTCAAGAGAGGTCTCCTGTACGCTCTGATCAGATGTAACTGCCATTTGGGTAGTTACGATGTCATGAGATCCTTTCATTGTATTTTCATACTATTGTAGTGATTCCTGATCACCGTAGGAAATATGAAACATACAGGAAGTACAAAAAGAAGAAAATGGAAGTCACCCCTATTCTCATTACTCAGAGACAAGTGTGGTTGAGGGTTTGTTCTTATTTCTGACAGGCATATTCTTTAGTTTGCCGAGAGGCAAAGTAGTGTGGAGGCCAAAATCAAAATCTCTGAAGCTCTGTGGCCTTGCACAAGTGATGAAGCTCTTTCTGCCTCAGTGGCTTTATCTGTAAAATTGGGACAAGCATGGTACCTATGCTATGAGACTGTGGTGGAGACTTAGTGACATAGTACATGCCAAGGGCTTAGAGCAGCTCCTGGTATACGGCAAGTGCTCAAGAAGTCACAGTTTTTAGTGTTATTATTTGGTAATACAAGTAAATGGGTGCCGCTGTGGTCCCTGTTCTGTGCCATCTGGGGGACAATCAGTATTCTCCCCAATTTCGATTCCCAAAGCATTGCTGAATAATGAAGATTTTTCTAGACTTCCTTGGGAGATGATAGAGATGTTTGCATTACACCATGCAGCAAATCCTGCCTTGTCCACACTCTTTAAACATCTGTGTGCTTTCTCCAACATTGTAATCCTGGTGGAAATTGTCTCATTCTCTCTTTTCTCTCTTCCCCAGCCACCTGGCACTGAAGTCGTCCCCCCATCTCTTCCAAAGCTCATCACAGAGCTAGCAGCTGCACACAGCTCAGCTAAACCGAAGAGCCCAACCCCGACAAGCACGCCCCTGGGGCCTTCTTTTATTGTGCTTGCATTTCCACACATGTG